GCTGATTTTTTGATTTATTGTAGAGATGAGGTCTCGCTGCCCAGGCGGGTCTCGAACGTACAGGCTCAGGCAATCCACTCACCTCAGCCTCCCAAAGGCGCGGACTTTTTTATTTTTTTAAGAGAAAGATGAATCAGAGACCATATTGAAGGCAGGGAATTAGGCCAGTTAATAGCCAAGCAAAAGATGAAGATGGCAATGATTATGGTGGTGTAGCAATGATTTGGGTAGGAACTCTTCAAATAAAATATAGTCAGCCCTTCGTATCTTTGGGGAATGGGTTCCAGAACCCCCTTTTGAATATCAAAATCCTAGCATACTCAAGTCTCATTAGCCCTGTAAAAGCCAATGATAGCAAAAGTTGGCCCCCCCCACAGCCCTGGGTTTTGCATCCTGTAATACTGTGTCTTCAGTCCGGTTTAGTTGTGGAAGAGGAACTCGTAGGTACAGAGTTGACCCTGTTTATTGAAAAAAATTCACGTACAATTGGACTCACACAGTTGAAATTCATGTTGCTCAATAATTAGTTCCAGCTACTTGGAAGGCTGAGGCAGAAGGATGGCCAGGTCTAGGTTGCTGTGGCCATGAACGTGTCACTGCACTCCAGCCTGAGTGACAGAGTGAGATTCCAATGTCAAAAAAAAAAAAAAAAATAGCATTAATCAAATGAATACTAGCATCACAGGCAGGACAAAGAAAATGGCAGAAGCATGGTTGAGCAAGCGTCATACTACACATTGCTACCTTAATTCAACTTTGAAAAGTAATATAGATAACATCTCCTAAAATGTGTATACACTTTGGTACCCCCTGTATAGCAAAGTCTTCTCCTACTGAAGTCATAGAAAACAATGAGATGGGAAGCTTGTGATTGATCATTTAGTTGAATTCTCTCATTAAATATAAGAAAACCAAGACCCAGAGATTAAACATTTGCAGGAGAGGATCACCTCAACAATGGCAGGGCTAAGGCAGGAATTCTGATGCCCGACTTGAAGTCGGGGCTTTCCTTCTCTACACTCTAACGGCTTCCCAAGAAAGGCACCAAAGTAAATCAATGGGATGTGTATGATTATCAAAAGGAGGAACCTTAAAAGTTCTTTGAAACTACAAAGAACATTTTTAAAAGCCAAGCACCTGCTTTATTATTAGGGGTTGGTCATTTTCCCAGATGAACTGACCAGAAAATCTATGCCAATATCAGCAACCACTCTTCACATATTCACTTTCCAAAAATAATGTTGGACTCCAGTCTGGTTTCATGGTACAGGTATCCAAGTACATGTGATTTATATTGTTATTACTTTCTTATTTAAAAATTAGAAACAGAAATACCAGTTTATTTAGGATTAGTAAGAAGATATCTTATAAAGAAAATGAAGTATGGTGGGTTTGTGACAGGCTATTTTATACTGTTTATCAAATGATATAAAAATTCATAGGGAACCTCTTTAAGTGCTAGGAAAACAATTAAATTACTAATCTCATAATACTTAACAAGTATCTTCCTGAATAAGCAATAACTCATGTATTTATTATTTATTTTGAGTTTTAAAAATTTTATTTTAGATTCAAGGGAATTTTGAGTATTTAATAAGGTAAAAAGTAGTTTGAAGGAGTTCTTATTGGGTTCGTATGTAATATAATAAAAGCAATAAGCACATTAATGGTTTTCTAGAAGGTTTATTATGGATACTGAGAAAGTCTCCTCATCTCCCACTTCCACCGCCCCAAATAAAAGAGGCAACATTTTTGCACATAAAACCTGGACACACTTGGTACAAAATTTGAGTCTTTGAAAAAAAAAGTTAATGGAAAATGTCAGTAAAAATTTATTTTGAAAATAATATTAATCAGAAATAAGAACATCATATGTAACACTTGTTAGAAGTTAAAAGGTTTTGTTATATATAACTATATATACATATTTTGGGTTTAAAACTTGTCAATAGCTATGTGAGAATATAGAAGATCATAATTTATTAAAATAGGTATTCTATTAATCATATACTTTTGACTTATCAACATATGCAAATGTTTCTCAAAAGCATTTTAACATGTGCAGGTAAAAAAAAGCATTTTAAATACAAGGTATAACTATAAAGTCATGAGACCGATTAACCTTTTATGCTAACACAATACAATCTATACAGTCAAATGATGGTAATGCTTTAAGGTAATGATCACAAATCTTAGCTAAGAGTGCTACAATGGTTTAAGGCAATTTTGAAATGTCTCTTTTGTAACTACCTTCAAAATGATAGGAACTTTGTTATTTTATCATTCACTTGTTTTGGTCCCCAGTAGTATTCCAGCTGAATCATCCTTGACATTCACCAGTTCTAGGAATTTTTAAAAATCGTATCCATCATCTTTGAATGAAGGTTTGTTACTTATGAAGATATTCAAAGGAATGTTAATTCGGGTTCTGATAGTAATTCTGAAAGTTGAGCACTTACACACTTTTAAGATGTGTAAATTGTACTATGACTCACAACATAGATTTTTTTAATGCACTGCTATCATTTTGAAATAATGAGATTTTTAAAAAAGCAACAGTGACTCATAACACTGAAATAGGACTCTACAGTTCAAAATGATAAGAATATACTGTGTTACAAAACCCATAGTAGAGGACATCTTAAAAGTTTATAGCTGTTAGCTTTTAACTTATGCATGTAGGTCAGTAGCATGAATCCAACAAGTTGACAACCCTCCTTTAAATCTCTCTACATGAATCACTGTAGTTGAAATTATACTTAAGTGTCTGAAATAGGCTTTATTGTAAAATGTTATTAAGTAGCACCAATATTACTTGAAAGTAAGGTGAAATATTAATAGAAATACCGAATACAGGTTTCATTTCTAAATACATGAGAGAAAGCATCTCCTAGACAAAATACCAATTAGACATGAGTTATTTTAAGATCCAGTCAGCTAAACATCAGTCATAAGCCATTTCAGATTTTGACTGGAAAAGCTAGATGCGAAAGCTTTGGGTATTGCTCTTTTATAGTCTATCCCCAAAGAAGATATATAAATACTTACATAATCAAGACAGTGCAATCTCACCAGTCAAGTTACCTTGTGGGAGCTACTTTTCCTCATTCTATATATTAGTTCAACAAGATAACAAATATAATAAAATGCTTTAAAGCAATCTGATTAGAGCAACATTTACATTAAGTACAAAATATACAGTAAAATTTAACATCTTGTTAAATAGGTCTGTAGATTAACAATACATTAAAGGTACATATTTTCACGAATCTATTTTCACATTTATTTGCTTTATTATGTTTGATAGTAACTACAATCACTGTGTGCTTATCAATATACTGTTATTGCAAACTCTAGAATCTTTGTATGTTTTTTTCTCTAAGTATCCTTATGACTATATCTGAAAAGGTAATTTAAAAAGTGTTACTACCAGAGTGAAAAACAAACAAAGAAATCCCCATATTTTTATGAGCACTTGTGCACAAAACTATTGTAGTGTTTGGAGAAAACTGTCTCTTGATCATTATAAATTCATCATTACACAGTATATACTTTTGTACTAAAGCAAAAACTGCCTTTAAAAATTAAGTGTTGCCAACTTACTATATAATTCTAGTTATGAGATTAGAGATGAAATTCTTCACTTTTAATTAGAAAAACATTATTTGAAAAAATCTGCCAATAAACATGTCTAAATGTGGTTGCTCATCTTAGTTTTCTTAATTAGAACAGTTGGGAAATGAACAGAACAATAGTGCTTTTGTGTTACAACAACAAGGAAGCATTACAACATCCAAATCTCCAGACCTGGGGTTTAAGTGCTCAGTCGCGGCTCAGTTGCAGACTGACAGAAGAGAAGCTTCGTCCTATGCTTGTACACAATGGGGCGATGAGCACATCTGTCACACTCTTCCATATTGTCTGCACTGAAGGCAGAACCATTAGGCAGGTCTTCACAAAAGGCATTACAATCCTGGAATGGAGGAAGAGAGATGTGTAAGGATTGTTATTGTTACCAAATAACATTGCTGACTCTTGTACATGAACGAAAAGATACACTAATGACCTAATTATATTTGGTTGAACATTTGAAGCAAAGAAACGAACAATGACCACCACAGTGATAAGATACACAAAAGATACATTGCTTAAAAAAATGAAGAGGAATGTAGATGATAAATATTAATATTCTTTCTACTAGTGGCATGCTATCTGAAACATTAAAACAAAAAATATACAAAACTGTATATTTATCTACCTGACCTCTATCCCTAAACATTAACTTGTCTAACTCTTCATATTTTCCTGAGGCTTTACTTCCTTTTAGCCTTTCCTGTTGCCTGTTCCATGTCCCTTCCCCTGGACCAGGATAGGTTGGTTGGATACTTCCTCTTTGTGTTTCTAAAGTACTTAAACAAACTTTTTTTTTTTTGAGTTGGAGTCTCACTCCCATCGCCCAGACTGGAGTACAGTGGCACGCTCACGGCCACCCCAGCGTCTACCAGCTGGGCTCAGGAGATCCTTCTGCCTCAGCCTTCCAAGCAGCCAGAACTTTAGGCGTACGCTACCATGCCCAGCCAATTTTTTATTTATTGTAGAGATGAGGTCTTGCCAGTTGCTGGACTGGTCTTGAACCTGCTGTTTCAGGCAATCCACTCACCTGAGCCTCCC